CCAGTGTTTCTCAACCTTGTCAACTTGAAGATGTCTGGACTTCAACTCCCAGAATTCCTTCTGGGAGTTGAAGTCCAGACATCTTCAAGTTGCCAAGGTTGAGAAACACTGGACTAGACGCTAAGCGTTGTTAACCTGGGAGTTGAAGTCCAGACATCTTCAAGTTGCCAAGGTTGAGAAACACTGGACTAGACGCTAAGCGCTGTTAACCTGGGAGTTGAAGTCCAGACATCTTCAAGTTGACAAGGTTGAGAAACACTGGACTAGACGCTAAGCGCTGTTAACCTGGGAGTTGAAGTCCAGACATCTTCAAGTTGACAAGGTTGAGAAACACTGGTTTAGGGTGTCCGACCAAAACACAGAAAATAAATGGAAAGGAAAATAATTGAGCTGTTGTTGTTGTTGTTTTTAAGTCTGTGGGTGGAGTATTTCCCTTGCTGGTTCAAAATCTGGCTTCTCGCCTTCAAGTAGATTTAGCCAAAGATGTTCTGATTCGGGTTAATGTCAGGGTCCCAAATAGCATCCAAAATTAAATCAAACTCCAAGGCAAAGAATTCCTCAAAGTCCCAATTGATGAAGAGAGACATGTTGGCACATCTGGGAAAACCCGATTCTGAAAGTTTCCCGGTTTTCCCCACCCAGTTGAAAGTCCAAGATCTTGCCCCCCACACCCACAGGCCCACCCCACGGTCCAATCTCCCACTGCCATGCTGGCAGCTTCCACCCATCCAGTTCCGGTCAGGTGCAGAGGTGCAGAGACAAAGGGTGACCTTGGTTTTCTAGAAAGAATGTTGTTATGGCTACATCGCATCTCACTCTGTACAATCCCTCCTCCCATTTTGCCACCATAGAAGAATAATAGAAAGTGTGGCAGATCAAGGATCCAAAAGAAAATATGGTTGCAGGCCTGACAGATGTAAGATTGTAGATTGATTCTCCAAAAAGTCTTTATTGGGGTGTTTCTCAACTTTAGCAACTCTAAGATGTATGGACTTCAACTCCCAGAATTCCCCAGCCAGCAAGCTGGGAGTTAAACTCCACACTAAGAGTTGCCACATTTGAAAAACTACAATAAAATACATTCCTAGGATCCCGTTTCTTAATTCGCCTCCACTGAATACCATTGTTAAAATCCCATTTAAGTTTTCACTCTAGTAGTTGTGTGATTTCTGCACTAAAGGAAATGAAAGCAGGATTCCTTCCTTCGGCAAACTTCCCTAATGCCGGCTCTAAATTCTTTGCACAGATAACTTTGTCAAAAGACCAAAATAAGGGGAACCTAACTAGTTCCCCAAACTCTAAACATCTGTCAAGAAATGATCTCATTTTTTTTGCAATGTGGTTATTTACGATGGGCCCCAAAATGGGGAGATTTTTTTAGAGTTCCTTTAACAAAATGCGTTGAAAAATTCAGGAAAAGTAGATTTTCTGTTTAAAAGTGGGGGCATTTTCAGGTCCTGAGTGTTTATGTGTGTGGCAGGGTGGGGAATAAATAAGACTCTAGTAAGAAGGAAAATCAGCCTTTTTCAGGCTTCGGTCCTATATATATATATTTGTCCACTTGAGGGCACAATCAGAAAAAGATCTTGTGTGGAATTAAAAACAGTGCGAATTATTGCTCCGAAAACCCAGCGAGATGGAAATTATTTCCTCCATTTTGGAAGTGAAAGTCTTGTCAAGAATTCTTCTCTTCCCTTCTCTTCTCTTTCCTTCTCTTCTCTTCTCTTCCCTTCCCTTCTCTTCCCTTCTCTTCCCTTCCCTTCTTTTCTCTTCTCTTCCCTTCTCTTCTCTTTCCTTCTCTTNAAAATTTCTGCTACAGGTTCTCCAAACTACTCAGAATTTCTGCTGCCGGTTCTTCGAACTATTCAAAATTTCTGCTACAAGTTCTCCAAACTCCTTAAAATTTCTGCTGCCGGTTCTTCGAACTACTGAAAAATTCTGCTGCCGGTTCTTCAAACTACTGAAAATTTCTGCTACCCGTTCTCCGAACTATTCAAAATTTCTGCTACTGGTTCACTGAATTACTCAAAATTTCTGCTACTGGTTCTCCAGAACCTGCTGGATTTCACCCTTGGATATATATTACTTGGAACCCTGACATTAAACCGGCTCTAAGTTCCCACCGGTTTAAAAGCTTTGTAGTTTGCCAAGCCCGTGAGAGTGTGGAAAGGAAAGGAAGTCTAATGACAAAGACAAACCAGAAGAAGTTCTCAGAAGTTTGTTTGTTTTTATTTGGAATCGGACAGCGTGTATCCCCAATTGTTGTGCAGCCTGAAAAGCGAGTGGGTGGTCTTTTTGGACAGCTGCCAAGCAGGAAGTCGAGATATGGGACTCAGGGACCTTTGCAAAGTGGAGTTTGGATTGGATTCCAACGCAAGAGAGGGGCTTCGTATCCCGAGAGGCGTCTTCTCCCCATCTGCTGAGCACGTTTGAGCCCAGCTCTCTCCTGAAGGAGGGTTCGGACAGGCCGGGGTTCAGAGCGCTGTGTCGGAGCCTGGATTTCCTTTGGCCTCCCGGGGATAATATTCAGCCAAGATGCTTTCGGGGATCCTTTTGAGCAGTTCTTTGGGGAAGATACGGAGCAACTGCCATCCTATGTCCAGGGACTCGAAGATGGTCCTGTTCTCGTAGGCGCCTGGGAGAAGCCGACCACAAAATCAATTACGAAGTGCCCAAAGTTTTATATCAAAATAGCAATAGCAATTGCCCTCGGATTTTTATACCACTTCACAGGGCTGTCCAGCCCTCTCTAAGGCGGTTTACAGAGTCAGCCTCTTGCCCCCCCACCCCCCAACCATCTGGGTCCTCATTTGACCCACCTCGGAAGGATGGAAGGCTGAGTCAACCTTGAGCCGGTCAGGATTGAACTACTGGCAATGGGCAGAGTTGGCCTGCAATGCTGCTTTCTAATCACTGTGCTACCACGATTTATCTGTCATCAATGATTATGATAGATGATAGATGATGGAGGATGGATGGATGGATGGATGTAGATTAGATATAGATGATGATANGAGTCCTTCGGGAGTGGGCGGCATACAAGACCAATAAACTCAACTCAACTCAACTCAAGAGGCTGGGAAAGGCAGTGGAAGATGGGAACGGCAGTCAGTCAGAGAGCCCAGGACTCCAGCCTCAGCAACTGACTTTGGCACTCCCAAAGCATGGGAAACCCTCTCTCCAAAGACCCTCGGGAGCCATCCTGCTCCCCACCTATGGAGCAAAAGGGGGGCTCAGGGGGGGGGAGGGCGTACCTCGTTGTGGGGGAGACCAGCGGCGGAGAAGATGGGGATTTTCTGTCCTCGGGCGATGCTGTTCATGACGTCGATGGGGGAGAGGCCCGTCTGGATCATCTCCTCGGGGTAAATGCGGCCTTGAGGGTTGATGGGCTGCCCTGCAGAAGGGAGAGAGGGAGGAGATGGAAATGAGAGGAAGGAAGGAGATAGGAAAGGAAGGAAGGGAAGAAGGAAGGAAGGAAGGAGAAAAAGAAGGAGGGAGGAGGGAAAGAAGGAAGGAAGGAGAAAAGAGGGAGGGAGGAAGGAAGGAAGGAAGGAGAAGGGAAATGAGAGGAAGGAAGGAGATAGGAAAGGAAGGGAGGGAGGGAGGGAGAGAGATGGGAAAGGAAGAACAGGAAAGGAGGGAAGGAAAGAAAGAAAAAGAGGGAGGGAGGAGGGAAAGAAGGAAGGAAGGAAAAAAGAGGGAGGGAGGAAGGAAGGCGAAGGGAAATGAGACGAAGGAAGGCAATAGGAAAGGAAGGGAGGGAAGAAGGAAGGAAGGAAGGAGGAAAAGAGAGAGGGAGGAGGGAAAGAAGGAAGGAAGGAGAAAAGAGGGAGGGAGGAAGGAAGGAGAAGGGAAATGAGAGGAAGGAAGGAGATAGGAAAGGAAGGGAGGGAAGAAGGAAAGAAGGAAGGAGAAAAAGAGAGAGGGAGGAGGGAAAGAAGGAAAGAAGGAAAGAAGGAAAAAAGAGTGAGGGAGGAAGGAAGGAGAAGGGAAATGAGAGGAAGGAAGAAGATAGGAAAGGAAGGAAGGGAAGAAGGAGGGAAAGGAGAAAAAGAGGGAGGGAGGAGGGAAAGAAGGAAGGAAGGAAAAAAGAGGGAGGGAGGAAGGCGAAGGGAAATGAGATGAAGGCGATAGGAANGATGGATATAGATATAGATAGATAGATAAAAAGATGGATGATAGATAGATAGAAAGAAAGGATAGATAGATATAGATAGATAGATAGAAAGATGGATGATAGAAAGATGGATGATAGAAAGAAAGAAAGAAAGAAAAAGAAAGGAAGGAAAGATAGATAGATAGATAAATGATAGATATAACTTAGACTTATATAACGCTTCACAGTTGTTCACAACCCTCTCTAAGCGGTTTACAGAGTTGGCCTCTTGCCCCCAACAATCTGGGTCCTCATTTTACCGACCTCGAAAGGACGGAAGGCTGAGTCAATCTTGAGCCGGTCAGGATCGAACTCCTGGCAGTGGGCAGAGTCAGCCTGCAATGCTGCAGTCTCACCACTGGGCCCCCAGGGGTCATAAAATGAATTTTATTCCTTAATGCTGTCTCCCTCTTTCCTTGCAACATTAACAGGCTCCACAATGGACTGAGAACCAGAGGAACGACAGTCACGCTGAACCTTAAGTCAATCGAGTAAAAATAGCAAAGGGGGGGAAATATTTCACTCAGACTTCCTCCTCCCATCCCACCCCAAATCGGTCACCCAACCTCACCCACACGTCAGAGAAGAAGGTGGGTGAGTTCTCAGCGAGGATGGGAAGAAGCTTCTGAAGAGCTGAAGAAGCTTCTTGGATGATGAGGAGCAATACATCTTCAGAGAAGTCCAGTTGTCTCTTGGGGAGGGGGAAGGCACTTTTGGGGGGCCCTTGTCCATGGCTTCCTCCCCCCATACCTTGAGCAATGAACTGCTTCTCAAACTTCTGTAGGAACTCCAAGTAGAGGAGGTCATCTGCCGAGAGGGCCTCTTCTCCCACCACAGCTTTCATGGCCTGGACATCTTTGCCGATGGCGTAACACGCATACTGGGCGCAAAGCAAGACAGTCACTCGGAATCCTGACCTGGGTCACATCAAGAAATGGGGGGGGGGAACGGGGACGGACAGAAGCCCCTCTGGACAGATCTGTGTGTGTGTGTGTTTGTCTTCCAGATGTACCCCCAAAATTATCTCTGTTAGGTAGTGCTAACCACGTATGGTACAGGTGGTCCTTGAACTTAAATGGAGCTCAACATTTCGGTTGCTAAGGGAGAGCTTTGTTGAGCCCCATTTCACGACCTTTCTGGCCACCGTTGTTAAGTGAATTCCCTGCAGTTCTTAAGCGAGTTATTTAAATACAATACAATACAATAGCAGAGTTGGAAGGGACATTGGAGGTCTTCTAGTCCAACCCTCTGCCTAGGCTGTTATTTAAATACAATACAATAGCAGAGTTGGAAGGGATGTTGGAGGTCATCTAGTCTACCCCCCCCCCCCAGCCCAAGCAGGAGACCTTCCACCGTTTCGGGCCAGATTTCTTTTACCAATTGATTGGAAACATCTCCGTGGTCCTTCCTGGTCATGCCTTCTCCGATGGCTGATTTCATCAGACGGGAGAGAGACGGCAGCACGTTGATGGGGGGATAGATCTGCGGCCCAAGAAAACGCAAAGTCACAAAGGGGACAACAATGAGGAATCTGCCATAGATGATCATAGATGATATCTATCTATCTATCTATCTATCTATCTATCTATCTATCTATCTATCTATCTATCTATCTATCTATCTATTCTATCTATCTAATTAAATTTAGAAAGGTCTTCTCTGTGAATCTGATGGTTCCTGGAGGGGATGAAAGTGGCCCCCTGGTGCCTTGTCTCCTGCTGGTCCCAGGAGGTGGTGGTGGAGCAGGAGAACCTCTGGACTGTCTGATGCCACCACAAGGACAGCAGGAGGAGGAGGAGGAAGAGCCAGAACATTTACCTGCCTATTGTGAAGCTGTCGGTCCACATAAATTTGCCCTTCGGTTATGAAGCCGGTCAAATCCGGAATGGGGTGGGTGATATCTGCAAGGAGACAGAAGAAGATGCCACTAGCCATAAGCAGGGTCAGAATGACAGAGTGGGAAGGGGCCTTGGAGGTCTTCTAGTCCAGCCCCCTGCTCAGGCCGGAAACCCCCCACCATTGCAGAGAAATGCCTTCTCTTCTTGAAAGCCTCCAGTGATGGAGCCCCCACCACACCTGAAGGCCAGCTCTTGAATAATCACTGACTGATAGTTCTCACTGTCTCCTTCCTTTTAGGTGGCTTCTCTCCTTGATGACCTTCCACCCGTTGCTGCTTCTCCTGCCTTCGGGGTCCCCTCCTTGATGACTTTTCCACCCACCAGAACCTTGAGCCCAGCAGAGTCAAGAGACTCCAGAGCCACAAACGAAAGTCTCTCTCTGCTTCCTCCTCAGAACCATCCCTCTCGACTCATAATTCACCCAGCTGGTGTAGAGGTTCCTCTCTGGTTTCAGAGTCCCCTGAGAATTAGGAGAACCTGTGGGGCACCGAGGAGGAACCGGGACCGGGCTCTGTTGGCCTGCTTCTCCCTTCCCACAGCTTCCCATCGACGTTGGACTGGCGTGCAGAGGTCCAGATCAGAGCACCTGAGATAGGTTGCGCTTGGAGGCATCTGGAGTAGGAAGAGGCCAGGAGGCAGCAGAGTCCCAGCCTTCTTGGTGGGTTGGTGGGTTGGCCTGTTCCCCAGGAGAGACTCCCTCAACATCATTTTCCGGGTTGGGACGCAGGAGGATTCTTGGGGAGCCCTCGGTCTGTCTGGGGCAGCACCGAATGACGACGGAGCGCAAGGAATTCTCTCTCTCCAAAGAGGCCAGAATTATTGTTTGGTGTTCAAGTTAAAAAGCATCTGGCATTGGGGGGGGGGGCACTGGATACATCTATCTATCTATCTATCTATCTATCTATCTATCTATCTATCTATCTATCCATCCATCCATCCATCCATCCATCCATCCATCCATCCATNAGGGACTGACCAGTGGAACTGCCTGCCTCCATAAGTTGAGGGTGCTCCATCACTGGAGGCTTAGAAGAGATTGGGCAGACCATTTGTCTGAAATGGTAGAGGGTCTCCTGCTTGATCAGGGGGTTGGACTAGAAGACCTCTAAGGTCCCTTCTAGCGTGGTGATTCTAAGCGTAGCGTTCCCTTCAGAGAAGAGGGGGGCCAAACTATTCTCCAAAGCACCCGAAGTCAGGAGAAAAAGCAATGGATGGAACCTAATCAAGCAGAGAAGCAACCTAGAACTAAAGAGGAATTTCCTGACAGTGAGGACAATTAACCAGTGGAACTGCCTGCCTCCAGAGGTTGTGGGTGCTCCGTCACTGGAGGCTTTCAAGAAGAGATTGGACAGCCACTTTTTCTGGAATGGCAGAGGGCCTCCTGTTTGAGCAGGGGGTTCGACTAGAAGACCTCCAAGACCCTCCCCCCGGTCATGTCTTCCAGCTCTGTTATTCTGTGATGGTGCCTCCAACAGGACCACCAGAGAGCAGCTGAATCCAGGTAATGTCACCCCAGAAGAGCCCCATGGAGGCCTTCATGTGCAGACCCGGCCCAGAAGAGCAGAGCCATCCAGGAGGGCGTCCAGATCGCTTCACAGCTCTCCCAAAGGGGAAGCCGTCTCTCCTCTTGAAGGCCACACCAACTCTTTCTCCAATGGTGCATCTTCTGTCACTGCGCATCAGGCGATCTTTTGCTGGAAAAGAGCAAGGCTTGGGAGATGTTGGGTCACATCACCGTCAAGAGGAGCCAGAGGGCCTCGGATTCCCCTCCCCATCCTCAGGTTCCTGCAGCCCTTGACTTGGAGATCCCCCAGATCATGGCCACCACAGGTAGCTTCCCTCTCCTTCCCCCCACCCCCCCACAATCCACCTGAAAAGGAGCTTCGGTGGACCAAGGGTCTTGGATTCAAGAGCTGCTTCATTTCCATGGGGTTCCCCCTCCAACCCCCACGATCCTCATCGCTCTGTGTCCAGACTCAGAGAAGGAAGACCAGCCTGGAATCTTCTCTTTTCTCAAAGGCAGGGGGTTGGACTAGAGCAGTGTTTCTCAACCTTGGCAACTTGAAGTCCACAGGACTTCAAGTTGTCAAGGTTGAGAAACACTGGACTAGAGGACCTCCCGGGTCCCTTGCAACTCTGTTGTTCTAGGAAGCATTTATGGTGGCTTTCTTCTCCCCTTGGTCCTTGGGTACCTTCCTGTAACTCATCGGTGTTAAACACAAGGCCTGTGGGCCGGATCTGGCCTGTGATATGGACGGATCCGGCCCACGGGGCCATCCCAGAAAATGTAAGGGTCAGGCCGGTGTGGCTTCGGCCAAGTCTACCCAGTGCAAAGAGGAAACATACCAGCATACCACCCAGTCAGCCAGGCCCAGTGAGTGACATCAAGCTGGCCACACCCACCCAGTCAGCCAGCCCAGTGAGTGACATCCAGCTGTCCACGCCCACCCAGTCAGCCACACCCACCAGTCGGCCATGCCCAGTGAGTGACATCAAGCTGTCCACACCCACCCAGTTGGCCACACCCCCACAGTCAGCCAGGCCCAGTGAATGACATTAAGCTGGCCACGCCCGGCTGGCTCCCTGAGGTCAACCATAGCCCAGATGCAGCCCTTGATGACAATGAGTTTGGCACCCCTGCTGGACTGTCCTGGAGCCACCGATCGTGGTGATTCACCCAAAGAGGCGCCACCTACCCAGCATGTCCTCGGAGACCGGTGTGCGGAGAATGTCCCCCGTGAACTCGCAGGATGTCTTGTGGGCATCGATGCCGGATGTGCCTTCAAATACCTGCAGAGGCAAAGGCCAAAGAGAAGATCACTGGCCATTAAGGAGGATTAGCAGCAAAAGGGCCTCAGCCGCTTCCTGTCCAGGACCCCCCTCCCACCCTCCCTCCCTGCCCATGCCAATCATTCATGAACTCCTCCCCCTCTTTCTCTCTCTGACACACACACACACACACACACACACACGGTGGGACTGCCTGGTCCGAACCCTTGCAAGATAATCTTCACACCTCTGCTACGAGTGGGTGAATGCAGTGGGGAAATTCTATTTTTTTTTTTACTAATGGTTCTGTGGGCGTGGCTTGGTGGGCGTGGCATGGTGGGTGGGGGCGGGGAAGGATACTGCAAAATCCCCATTCCCTCCCCACTCTGGGCCCGGCCAGAGGTGGCATTTCCTGGTTCTCCGAACTACTCAAAATTTCCACTACCGGTTCTCCAGAACCAGTCAGAACCTGCTGGATTTCACCCTTGGGCGGCTGGAGCCGTCTCCTCTCCCGCCCCATGTCTAGGACAGGTCTAAGCCCCTTCCACCCAGTGATGTGTGGGGGTCGGAGGATTGGCACCCCAAAGGTCTCCACCCTGGAGGAGCAAAGGTTGGCAGACGCCCTGCTGAGGGTGCCATCAGGTCAACCCTGCAGCTTTGCCTGGAAGCAGCTGGGGCAGAGGGGAGGGGGGCAGAGGGGGCAATTCTCCCAGGTGGACCTTCAGAGGGGAAAGGTTAGCGACTGGCCAAAGACTAATTCCCTCCCCTACTCCTCTCCCCAACTTCTGGGGGTAACTTCTGTTCCACTAATCAATTCTTCTCACTGTCAGGAAATTTCTCCTAAGTTCTAAGTTGCTTCTCTCCTTGATGAGTTTCCACCAGTGGTGGGTTTCAAAAATTGTTCGAACCTACTCTGTGGGTGTGGCCTCCTTTGTGGGAGTGGCTTGCCGCCCATGTGACCAGATATGAAGANGAAAGGAAGGGAGGGAAGAAGGAAGGAAGGAAGGAGAAAAAGAGGGAGGGAGGAGGGAAAGAAGGAAGGAAGGAAAAAAGAGGGAGGGAGGAAGGAAGGAGAAGGGAAATGAGAGGAAGGAAGGAGATAGGAAAGGAAGGGAGGGAGAGAGATGGGAAAGGAAGAATAGGAAAGGAGGGAAGGAAAGAAGGAGAAAAAGAGGGAGGAAAGAAGGAAGGAAGGAATTATCCCAGTGTAAATCTTAGAGCTTAGTTTCTGAAGGACTAAAGACACAATTTAGTCTTCCAAAGGGAGGATCCTTGGCCCCCTCCCTGCTTCCTCTTCTTCTTCAATGCTTTTGCCAAATCAAAGCCCAAAAGGGGAGACCTTCCATTTCTTAAAATCACCACCCACAAGTCGTCCTTTTGAAGCTCTTCCTCCCTCCTCCCATCTTCTCCCTTGTTCAGTTGCAAAACAGAAGAGCAACCCTTGAGCCTCCATGCCTGGCTTCCCCAAATGATCTCCGCTCAGTTTAATGTCCGAAACCTGCACAAAACTCGGCCAGGGTCTCAACTCTCCCACTCGGCCCTTGGGGTTCTTCACCCAGGAGGCTCCTCCCGCCACGATTCCTAGCCCCACCGTGCCCTGTCCCCCCTCCTCCCTCCCCCTGCCCCACCCCTGCCAAGCCAACCGAGGGGCCTCACCGTTAATGTCCAGGAAGTCCTCGGCCATCACCATGGGGCCTTTGTCGATGGGCTTGGCTGAACCGTTGAAGACTCGGCCTGCAATGAGAAGAGACCCATGAGCACCCCAAAGACCTGGGTGAAGGATGTGGGGGGAGGGGGGGCAGAAGAGAGGAAGGGTCAACTGTGGTTGGAGAACCTGAACAGGTGGACAGTTTCTTTCAAACTTAGCCCAACCGAAGGAATGCCACCTCAAGGAGCTTCAAGACCTTTGGCTGCATCAACAGAGGGATGGAATCAAGATCACATGAAAAATACCACTTTATAAGGCCTTGGTAAGGCCACACTTGGAATATTTGCATTCAGTTTTGGCCACTGCCATGTAAAAAAAGATGTGGAGACTCTAGAAAGAGTGCAGAGAAGAGCAACAAAC